AAACATATCATCGTCATCATTATCATCGACCGGATTCATTTTTTTTTTTTTGGAATGTATTGAAAGTATATGAAATAGAGAGAAAAGTGGTGATTAAATTTATATGAAATAGAGAGAAAAGTGGTGATTTTATAGGTAAATATTTTTTTTCTTTAAAGAATGTTACCTTTTTTTCAACGGTAAAATGAGGAAATTTAAAAAATTAAAACGCATTATCGTTCGTTATAGTCACAACGAAGGATAACGGATTAGGGGGGGGGTTGTTTCGTCTGTGGTAACGTCGTGGAGGCAGTGCCACGTAGGTAATAACGCCCCAATACGGGCCCGTACCGAGTAGTCTTATAGTTTTGAGGTTAGATGATTAATGAAAGATTTTTCTAAAGTTTTTCAATTTAAAAAAAAAAAAAAAAACAATGAAATTTTCTTTTATCATGAGAAATTTAATTCGAAAGCTTTTTTTAACATAATTATAGACTTCAAAAAATAGTAAATCGTAAATTGTATAATCTGAACAACCATAATTGATTTTGTCTTATGTTTCATGTCTCATTAGATCAATTGCAAAACACCAATAATATTTTATCCTAATGAGGATGAACACCAAAATATTTGTATATGAACATCTACGCATCAACGAACCATTAGGCTCTTAGGGCCAAAGTTTGTACAAGTTTTTGGTATAATCATTATTTATTTTCTTTTTTATTGTTTTTAATTTATTTTCATTTGTTAATTAGTTAAATACTTTTACTAACATATTAAAAGATAAAATCTTAATTTAGAAAACATTTTTATATGTGTAAATGTAAATATAAAAAATCATAAGTTTATTTTAAATATTAAAACATTTAATAAATATTTACAATTTTTTTTACCATAAAAATATTATTTAATTTTTATTTTTATAGGTTTAGGTTATGTTTGGCATCCCATAGCTAGCTAATAAACTAGTTTATTTTTCAATTTTTTTTAAGTTGTCATGTTTCACAAAATAAAAGATAACTTATAAGCTAACTTTTAAAAAAACTACTTAAACTAGTTTTTTAGGAATTTTTTTTAAAAATTTTCCAAATATATTCTTTAATTAATTATAAAAACATATCTTTTCATGTCATTTTATACCTTTCAAATAGTTATAGCAAACGTCATAGTTATAGCAAACGTCATTTCTTATCAGCTAGATTTTCAACTATTAACTAATTTTTTATTTAACGGCTATTAGCCGGTGGGGTTACTATTTTAGAAAATATTTCCAATTGAAAAGTGTGGAAACAATATTTATTAGTTTTTTAAATCATTTGTAATTTAGAAAATTGGTTTTCTAGAAAACTTTTTTTTCAAAATTTTCAAACCGGGAAAACAAAGTATATTTCATGAACCAAACATGCCCTAACCTTTTATATGAAAATCGTAATTTTTTTCAAATCTTTTTAATATTTTAGAAATTTGAAAAATTACCAAAACAACCCTTATAGTAACTTTCAGGTTGGGCAAAGAAGTAAGGATGTGGTTAATAAGCTTATCTGCAGAAAAAGGCAGACATGGTGCAATGATATAACACCTTAAAACCCAATGTAACAAACTAGCCTAGTAAGCTCTGGATAAACAAAAAACCATAATACAAACATGACATGAGAGGAGAACAAACATGAATCAGTTTCTTTGGTGTTATCGTCGCCGCCGCCGCCACTGCCACCACCACCACCTCCGCTAGACCGTCACGAGAAGGCAGGTTTCTTGTGAAGTGATTATTACTGGTTTTCTTGAAATAAATTTTTATGTTTCATGTAGGCATTTCATCGAACACTTAACGTGCAACAGACACAAACACATGCATAAAAGGAGAAATATTAACTGCCGTAATGGTTGGGTTATGGTAACTAACAAACACAAAAACATACACATATTATATATAATTGGTACTTTTTTTTTTTCAATCGAGCAAAATGAAGAAAAATATACATTTCACATGTTATTTATGTTGTGGTGGGTTCTGTACTTGTATAACAACACCGGGTAACTTCTAAATTTCAATCAATAAATTAATTTGATGGTGTTTCTTAGGGATAAACAAAACAGAACCCGGAAACCGAAAAACCAACAAAAACGAAGCCGAAAAACAAAAACCGACAATTTGGGTTTGAGTTTTTTTAAAAATCGAAAATTTCGGTTTGGGTTCGGTTTTTTATAATGGTAAAACCGACAAAATCCGAACCGAAGTAATTGTATTAAAATTTTAAAATTAATATATTTTTATACATATATTATATATAAAACTAACATATATTATAAGTCAAATCCTCCTTAATAAATGAAGGTTTTGTTTGTATGTCAATCTCGTATGAGTTTTAACACTTATCTTTTTGTGGTATTTTTTAAATAAATATTATTCACTTGTCAATTTTTGGTTTGTTTCAATTTTTAAAATTAAAGTCGTATACTTATATATGTAAAGTATTATATATATATATATATATATATATATATATATATATATATATATATATATATATATATATATATATATTAAATTGCAATAAATATGTTTTTTCCTTTCTTATTTTAAAGTTGTATATTAAAAAATATTTTCTGTTTATACTTTAATGTTTAATTATTTTTTTAAAATCAACCCGTGTAATACACGGGTCTCACACCTAGTATGTGATAGATGCATAAACAAACAAAATAAGTGAATATCCCAATTTCACTAGTAACAATCTTAATGACAACCAATGCCTAATTCAATATCATGCCTATGTGTTTGAATCATGTCTATGTGTTTGAATCAGAATTACATTATGCATAATTTCTTTAGATGCTAATCTTCTTTATCTATTAACTAGTTAAATTCTCAAACTTGGATTCTTCCAAAATATCAACTAGTCACCATATATATTATGGAAATGTGCCATTAAATTTTTTAAAATGCCTCAACATAAGACAAAGAAAAGATGTATTAGAGAGAAGACAAAATTGTAAAAATGGTTTAAATGGTTGACAAATTTATATGTTTTTAGTCAAAAAACGAAATTTTAATGAACCACTGGTCTAAAATTAGATATTTCTATTGTTTTTGGTCCTTATCAACATAAAAGGACTATTCTACCCTTATATTTGTCTTTTTTAATTTCTTTTATATTTATTCAAATGTTTTTAATTAATTAAAATTGAGAAAAGGCCTCTCTCTCTCTCTCTCTGAAACACAGAGTTAGGGCCGGTCCAATGGTTTTCAATGCCCCGAGCAAATAAACTTAATGATGCCCTATGTTTAGCAACTAATACATATAATGATACTAATTACTTATAAATATATTCAAAATGCATATATTTATGCAAAAAATCATAACAAGAAACAGCAATTAACAATGACAATAAAAAGAAGCTTTAATTTAGAAACAATAATTCAATTTCAAAGTTCAATCATTTATAATCAAATCGACTAGAGTCAACAGATAATTCTAACATGCATTTGTGAAATTAGACAAATACAAATGCAATGTTTTTTGAAAAGCAAACATAACTCCAACTTTAAGTTTGTTTACTAATCTTTTTGGTAAAAATAATTTACTAGAACTATGAATCAGATAATCAAAAAGCCATTATAAGTACAACCACACCCTTAAACATAGGAAGGGTGATATATATATAAAGAGAAAAAAAGAAAAAAAAAAGTAGGATTAACTATCTTGCAAAAGGGCAGATTCGTGTTTTAAGCCAAAGAGAATTTAGGTCATTTTCATCTTGGGTAAATTCAACTTTCAAGCCAAGGGGCAAAAAGACCCAACTGCAGATTTAAGAACTTCGGAGCCTCAAAGTCCAATTTTCAAGACAAGAAGGAAACCTTGACCTTTCTTTAGCGCTCTTCACAGAACTGTTACCGAAGAATACTTACTTCTGATAACTTTAAAAAGAAACACATATATTAATCAGAAAACTTAAGCAAAGAAAGAAAGAGGCTATTTCAGTGTTGTTTGAAAGAAAATAACAAAAAAACGAAACCCGGTTCTTGTTCCTCCTTATGAATGATAGAAACAGAAAACCTCAATGCCCCTTGATATGAAAGAGAGAATCGAAAATAGTGTTCACGTTTTTGCTTGAAACGAAATATTCAGTCCCCGACTCCTCACTATATAAAAGATAGAATCAGAAAAACTCTCAGGGACTCCTCGTCCTCGTGCGCTTTTTTAGCCACTATTGTCGTCTTCTTTCTAATTTCACGTTTTAGATCGCGCCATTCTTACTGGACTACTTTTGTGGAAAAAAAAATTGGTCTAAGTTACATATACCCACAAGAGTTGAAGAAAATGTGATGCCCTATCCTATAGTGATGCCCTGGGCAATGGCCCAGTTTGCCCTGCCCTTGGGCCGGCCCTGACAGAGCGAGAAAGGACATGGTTCTTAGTTCTTCATTTATCTTCCATCTTCACTCTTTCCTTTGATTTTGAAACCCAACGGATCTGTATATATTTGCAAACAAAAAAAACAAAAACTATTTTGAGTAACCATATCGAACACATATTACCTTAACCGTAGTAGGACATCTACATAAGCCTCATTTGTACATTTACTCTATTTCAACAAGAATGATCAGTGATCTAATATAACCATGATTTATACTATGGAAATCAGCTTCAGAAACATGAATTCAGAGTTATCTGTCCTTTTTCCTTGAAAGAATGCATTGGCATCTTTCTAAATTCCTGTATGTCAATTTTGCTAATTGGAGAAATCTTAAACTTTGACCATACAGAGACAACTTGAATTGGTTTCTTCAAAAAGAATATTTTCTTCACCTCTTCAATGTCTATATCAGGCTTAATTGGATATATTGCACTTGGCCATAGATTGAACTTTATACCATTTGGGGGTGCAGGGATATCCTAGTTTTCTTTATTGAGGTCTGAAGGAGGTGTGAAGGAATTTGTGGGCTTGATGACCTTGATCTTCTTATAAGAATCTCTATCAGGATTGAAGAAGATGTTCCTCTTTAGAGATGGTGCTCAGAATTGTTCATCATGCCATGTGTTCGTTTCTTCAGGAGAGATCTCTGAAGATTTCTTTTCAAGAAGCACCTCTTGATTATCCTTTAATTGCTCTCCGTGAAGATCATTTTCCAATTCCTCATCCACCTTTTGTTGAGCCTCTTTGACTAACTCTTTCTTAGACTTGAAGACAACCTTCTATTTTCCTCTTCCCTTAGGATCAATTTGAGGAAGCTTGGGGTGGGTGATTGGTTCTGATATGGTGAAAGTTTTTGTGATGTAAATATCTTTCCTTTTTGAACCTTTAAAGTTGGATCTTTAATCCCTTGTTTTCGAATGAGTTCCTATTCTGTTTTTGCCATCCTTTCTTTGTTCTATTGTGCTTTTAATCTTGTGTCAGCAGCCATTTTGTCGACTGACTCTAATTTCTCTTGTCTCCATTTCTCAAACTCATTTGGTGAGTCTGGAATTTGATGTATGATAGAAGACTGACTTGATCTGGATTTTTTTGACCTTTTCCCCCTCTAGTGCAGGTGAACTATCATTTGAACCATATAACTTTGCTAAGATCAAGTATAGCTTGGAATCAATCGAGGCAACTTTTTGTTGAAGCTAACGTATATTAGAAGAAGAGTGTATCTTGATAGCCTTGACTTCATCGACTAGCAGCTAAACAATTTTCTCAAGAGAAGATATGTTACCTAAGGAGTTATTGTCTTTCTGAGAATTGGATTTTAAGAGATTTGCAATGTCAAATCGCAAAGAATCCAATTAATGTCGTACTTGCTCGTTAAATGCTTGAAAGGGAGAGGTAGAAGATGACGCGGAAGATTTAGATAGTTCTGCAACTGACTTTTCAAGAGTGGAGATGTATCGGTCTTGAGCCGTGATATGACTCTACAAATGATCTAACTTAGCTTCATAAACGGGATCTAGACTGGATAAGGACTGAATAAAGTCATCAATCTTCTGATACATCTGAGATAGACGATCTTCAATAGTGTTTTGAATTTTCTGATCTAGGGTTTCGATCTGCTGCATGTTACGAATAACTTGTCCCTTGATATATACAATTGTGTAATTAAATTCTTCAGTGGTGACCTTAAGCTTTTTTACATGTGCTTATGTTGTCTCATTAAGGATACGCACATTATCTTCCATGCATTCAAGATATCCTTGAAACTTGTCTAGGTATTCAGAATGAGAAGATGTTTGAAAACGGGTTTCCTCAATGCCATCAGCTACAATCTAAGCAGTTAGTCTAATACGCTCAACTCTGGTTCATATGTATTTGCTTCATTTGTATCTGCTGGAGTATCATCGTCCTTAGGAGGATCTGGTGGAAAAGAAGAGAACTTCGCTTCTTCAGTATCATCATGTTCTTGAGACTCTTTTTGAGGTGAGGGAGAGTAGTCATCAAGATCAATGTTGAATGTCATGGTAGATGCTTTGGATTCTAGGACAGTTGACATGTCGTTTGGCTCATCATCAACTATTAGCCCTTCATTGGAAGGTATGTCTATCGTTTGCATTGGATTATCCTTATCTTGATTATTTGTAATGGAGAGCTTTTAGGAAGATCTTCACATTCGGGTTGATTTTAACCTTCTTGATTATTGTCCTCAAGTGAGTCATAATCCAAGGAGACACGATTGCTTGGACCTTCAATATCCGACTGAAAGCATGCTAATGAAACTGGAGTTGGGGATGATGATTCAACATAAGCAGATGGAGCTTGAAACAATCAATATAAGAAAAGAAGTGACTTAGATGTTGTAGTAGATTTATGAGGAGATGTGGGCTCATCTAAATCTACTCCAAGAGGATAATCAGAGACAGGGTGAGATGGGATGAAAGGCGGTTGGTCTGACTTGGATCGCTTCTTCTTCTGTTTGACTTCTTGGATACATGATATGAGTGCTTTCTCTTCTTTTTAGAAGATGAAGTAGTTCCCTGGATGTATTTTTGATATGAGAGTAGAGAAATATATTTTTCATCTAGCTTTGCTAAGATAGTATCTTGAATAATGACTGGATGTGAAAACTCAGAATCAGATGCAGTACGAATCCTATATGGTGTCATACGCAAGAATTGTGGTGGTGGGCCTTATGGAGTCGCATCTAGTGTAAGATTACTATTATTGATGACATCATGAATAATGATAGACCACCAACGTGGATAATTAATCAGAAACCTATTCTTTGAGGCAAGAAGAAAGGTGAGAAAGTCTTCCCAAAGAATAGACACGTAGTCGACATTGATGTCATAGAAAAGTTCAAACATGACAATCCAAAGATCTGTTTTACCAAGATTGCGTCCACTAATAAATCCGAAAAGACATCGAGTGGGGACCAAACTGAGAAAGTGCCATGGCGTGGGAAGTTGATATTTCATAATTTTTGAAAGGTTTGGTTCAACTTTTTCTTCAAATTTGTATCCCATTGCCTTGAACATTGTCAACAGTTGAGCAGAAGAAGGTGTGACAAATGTTGAAGGTTTACAAGAACAATCGCTTAGACCTAAAAAAATTGTGAACTCTTCTTTAGTAAGAGCCAAGTTAGTTCGATAAAGGTTAAATTCAATATCAAGTTGTTTTGACTTTGCTCTTGGCGATATAGCTGCAGATTGAAAGACGTGTGAAATAAGAGACTGTGGAGTTGGAGAAGTAGTTAAGAGTGCATATCTCAGTGGGAATTTTTGCAAATATTCAACAATGACACAAACTTCTTGAGGTTGTTCCTGAGTTTTAAGAAGTGCAATATAGTTTGATATAGCCATAGCAAGTCGAGGTACTGATGTGCCTGTTAAAGTGGAAGGTCCAGTTGCTTGACTTTTGGACGACTTATGAGACACCTTTGCTTTAGAAGTTTGTCCATCTTCTTTGGAATCAATGTCTTAAAGAACAAAAATTGGAATTAAATGTTAGTTAAAGAGATATAGCTAGAGAGTAATAACATATAATCTTAACTAAACTCTAAAAAAATGAGGGGGGGGGGGGGGGGGGAGAGAGAGAGAGAGAATAAAAATGTGTGAATTTGCATGAACTAAACAAGGTTGTGACTTGAGTAGTATTGTTGATTCAAGTATAGTAAATGACATGGCAAGTAGGAATAAAAGAGAAAGGACTTGATGTCATGCAAAACAAAAAAATGATGTTACTAAATCATAGCAAAAGTGCAAGGATCAAGTAAAACTACTAAGTCATGATCTATGATGACTATTGCATATCAAATAAAGATATCTTATAGAAACTAACAGAAAAATAGATATCATAGAGACACTAAGTGAAACTATTTATGTAAATCCAAGAACACATGGAATAGTGAATGGATTTAGATAGAGTTGAAAAAGAAAAAATTGCGTTGATCTTAAAAGAACAAATAAAGACATGAAATTAAAGATGACGAAAGAATAAGAAAAGAGACATTACCTTAAAGAAGAAGATTGAAGGTAATAGACTTGTGAGAATGAATAGCAAAATATGCACCAATAAGTGTAATGCTCATAGGAGAGACGTAATTAAAGGATCAACACTAAATAACCTAATCATGGTATGTAAAAATGAATCAATGATCAATAAAAAGAAAGAGAAAAACAAAAAAAAGGAAAAAAGGAAAAATGATGCTCACCCAATATGATTGCAACAAGAAGAACTGTACACAAAGAAAAGTGATAGCCAATACTAGGGGAACCTAACCACAGGAACATATGCCTTATCAGATGATGTTATGTTGAATCAGTGAGCAACACAAAGAAAAAGCAACACTTTTGACACTTGCGTTTTGCGTGGTAAACGATTTAAGGTTTAAGGTTATTAAGAATAGAGATAAAGATTCCTCCATAAAATTAGAAGCCTTACCATCTTTGACATATTCAAATACATTAACGTTTTCAACCCAATCAAATACAAGAACCAATTAACGAGAAAACTATTACATATTTATCCATCCTAATTAATCATTAAATTAATTAATTAACATCCCATACCTAACTAATGCAAACTCAATTTATATAATAAATCTCTCATCTTTCTTCCTCTCCAAACTTAATTTACAAATACAAACACTCAGAAGTTATTAATTAATCATAACATTCAATTAATTAATATGAAATCATGCAACACTAATGATGCTATCTCCGTTGTTACTACTACTACTATTACTACTATTAAAGCTACCAGACATTTCTTGAAATTTGACAACAATATGTCTTGAGGGTGATGATGATTGTTGGTCAGAAGAGGTTGTGGGTGTGGAGATGGAAGTGGATGTGGTGAGATTTAGTGTTAAGGGCAGTGGTGGTTCACGATGTTTGTAATTATCCGATGTGCTTAAATTGAGTTTGGCCATTTTGGTAGATGGTGGTATGGGGATTGGAGGCATAAGATTTCCCGCTTGTTTGGTTGTAGATGGACGTCCGAGTGTCAGAGTGTCTATTGAGTTATGATCTCCGCCTCCAGTGAGTTGTAGTCGACTTGGAATTAATGGAAAAGATGTCATAACGTATTTTTCCGGCTCGTATTTTAAATTTGGTGATGTCTTTTGATTCATATCATCATTTAACGAATTCAGGCACTGCAAATCGAACAAGAATTTTATATGAAATTATGGATATGATTATTACAAATGTTTTTACATATATAAATAACTCATGCATTTAATATGATCTTTCTATCTATTTCTTGTCTAAAGTTGTATACTATTTTCTAACTATGATTATTTAAATAATATAATTAAGGATAAATAATTTATCTTTTAATTATAATAAATTAATTTTTTTTAAAGCATTAACTATTATAAATGAATGTAAATTTTTTCAATAACTTAATTATAAATCTTTTTAATAATAATAATAATAATAATGATAATAATAATGATAATAATAAATAATCAAATAAATAGAGCTTATTAAACATCATCATTTTAAAAGTTATATCAGTATAGTATTTGTAATTCTAAAGGCTTAATTAAAATACTTTTAAAATAACTAAAAATGTCCAAAGAAATAGAATAAAAATTAATTAATAATAGTAATGGTTGAAAATAATATTAGAATTTAAAATTGGAGTTAAAAGGAAAATTAAAAATTATATTAACTAAAAAAGACAAATGATATAACTAAAAATAATGTTACTGTCAAATAAATAGTTTTTATATGAATAAATAAAATTCATCATGGTCGAAATAAAAAATAAGTAAAATAAATAATTAGTGAATTAATAGTTATTTTTAATATTAAATAAAAAATTACCCAAATTTTATTTATGCATATACCGATAACAGCACTCAAGATGAAATAAGACTTAACTGCCAAATTTCTAACGCACGTTTATTTTGTGATATGATTTAATTAAGATAATGACAACATTTTTATATCAGTTTCTATATTTTGTAGATATAATAACGATACCGACAATTTCTAGAAGAATCCATCCATATATGTCAAGCTTTTATGACCAAATATAATAACCAATCATTTTATATTTCGGAAGATATGAAATAGGGAAATACCTAAAATATATAATTGATATATTATTGTCGATATTTTTTTAGAACATATTTTATTTCTCTTCAATGCGTGGGCATTTGTCATATTGAAAATAATGTCATTTTAATAAGCGTTGATTGTAAAGGGGGCATATTACTTCATAGATGCTTAGAAATAAATAAATAAATAAAATGGTGTACCCTATTAAGAGTTAATGCATCGAATTTAATTAATAATCATTATCCAATTGAGTTTTAGAGCACGCAATCTCAACGACTCATATGTATATCGTCTAAGACATGTATTTTACATCTTTTAGAACATGCATTTTACATTGTTATTTACAGTATAAAAACGATGTGGGTGTATATATTCTAAATTTAACCAATCACCTAAAGTCTAAAAAGAATGTTTACCAAAATCCTATCTTTTACACCTTTGCATGATGGTATCATTTAAATAATTAAAGGTGGACCAAAGGACTCCAGGTACACTCTCTTTAATTATACTTGTTTTATTCATTGTCTTTTGAGTAACATACACATTAGGTCCCCCTATATTTTATAAAAAATCACAAGTTTAGTCCAAATTTTATAATTGTTACAACATCATCCTTAATTTTCCATTTTGTTGCACATATCGCGACCCATATAAAATGACTTTAAATTTTGGATTAAACGCGAGTTTGTGTAAATCATAGAAAACATATCTACAATGAATGCAAAATTAAGGATGATGTTCAGACAATTTCAATATTTGGACTTAACTTCTAATTTTGATTCAAACAGAAGGACCAAATATGTAATTTACTATTGTGTTCTTTATTATTAAATTGATAGAATTGATTTCAACCAAAGAGATTAAAGATTTGTGTGGAGTTCCTCCATTCACACAACTAGTTGGTGGTGGTGATGATCTTGGCGTTGGTGGTGTAGAAGAATCCATCCATCGATGTCAACTTTTATGACCAAATATATTAACCAATCATTCTATATTTCGGGAGATATGAAATAGGGAAATACCTAGAATATATAATTGGAATATATTTGATGTATTTCCAAAATATATACGTAAATAAAAACAAAAGATTGACATATAAGGAAACAAAATAGTATCGTTTGACAACCCCGAGTGTTGTTTTCGCTTCTTTCTTTTATAATGTTTATACATTAATTGCATAAGTTGTTTGGAAACAAATATATATAAATAGAATGGTTACAAATCAGGTGTTCTATTTTTAATCATTAGTTTGGTAAAGAATTGTAGATACCGAAAAGATTCAGCAAATATGCTAGTTATTTTATATTTAATGGTTGACATCATGTGCTACATCTATTAAAAAAAAGCAACGATTCTATAAAATAATACAAGATAACTTAATTTTTGTACCAAAAGCTTTTATTAATAAATGAATGACTCAGGGATATCATTTTAAATTATAAATAATTTAGATTGTTATTAGGTTTATTTTATGATTAGCTAAATGGTTGGTTTAATGTTCCACCATATGATTCGCTTATTTGCTTAATTCTAAAGCAGCTGCTTTTAAAGATAACCATGTAATAATAATTTTTTTTTTTTTTAATTTCTACAGTTTATTTGATAGATTAGACCACTTATATTTTTTAAACCATAAAATTTATGAAAAGGAATTGAATTAAAGATAAAATACGTAAAACGGTACCGTATCAGTGGTAATATCAAAGAGGCTGGATCTCCGGCGTCGCCTGTTGTGGTTGGTTCGCCGGAGAAAGTACTTCTGAGCATGGCTAGCCACCTGAGTCGGAGTGCGTGTTTTTACAAAGTTTCTGGAAATTCCTCTCCAATCTCCTTTCCCTACCTTCTGTAATCCGACCAAAAACAACCGGTGTTCCTCCTCCGTCCATGGCACTCCTATTCATCTCAAAATCAAACAGAAGAACAAACTTACGGATTACAGATTGCTAAATCAGAAAAACCAGAGAATAGAAGATCGAAGATAAACTTATTAATTGAAGGTCGATCGATTTTTGAATAGTACCTCTCTTCCTCTCTCGACTTCGCGCTGAGAGATGAACGACGTCATCGGAGGCATATCCGGCAGCATCAATATTTGATTCCTGTGGCTGTTCGTCATACTGAACGAGATTATTCATGCTTGCACTCTTCCTGAATGAAGATCCTCCTCCCCCTCCTTCCATTAATCTAACTCCAAATAACATGATACCTTTACCCCGGATTCCACCGTTGTTCATGGCTGCAGACGAAAAGGCTGCTGCACCACCAATTCCTCCTCCTCCACCACCACCATCAGTACCCCCAGATTCTGAGTACTTTCCAGGCGCGATCGCCATTATCTCTCTTAGAGAGAGAAAGAGAATCAATGGATTGAGAGAAAATGGGTTTGATAGGTATATAGTTGTTAATATGGTATTTCTAGGGTTTAGTATATACAAAAAGAACTTGTACTCTCTAATAAGCATGACTCGTAAGGCCCCGCTTAGATGTTACGCATGACCACTGCTCATATGTGCGCCTAACTTAATCATCACCGTTGAAAATCATTTACTTCTATTTTTTTTTTTTTTTTTTTTTTTTTTTTTTTTTTTTTTGTTACACTATTTGGTTGGAAATTAAATAATATAATCAAAGATTCTAAAAAGCTCGCTATGACATGCCACGACTCCAAGGCTTGCACTTGCCGCCAAGTTTTGTCAAAACGCCGTCTTAACTTATATATGTGTATAAAAATGAATAATAGTGGAAAATACATATAAAAATATTAATTATATAGAAAATTACCGCCTTAAGTCACATCTTACAAACGCCGTGACTCGCCAAGACTCAGAAAAGTTTTAGGCTTGACATTACCGTCAAGTCACGCCTTACGTTATTTAGAACATTGATATAATCTTTAGAAAGAAACATTTTGATAAAAATAAGCAATATTTTCTTTTTGTAAAATAACCAAATACTTGGGACACATAGCATATTAGAATGGTGGTATTCGCTCAGGAGATCTTATTCCGAATACACATTCTGGATCTTGTATTTCTATATATATATATATATATATATATATATATATATATATATATATATATATATATATATATATATATATATATATATATATATACGAGTTTATTAAAAATAAAATGTTAATATTAATATATAAATATGAAATATTTTATAATGTAATACTTTACATAACATAATCTTCTGAAAATTTGCAAAATAAACTAAATTGTTTGAAGTATTTATGAAAATTTATTACCAAATTAATAGGATGATTTTATTTTCTTATAGAACCCATTACAATTTTATGGAATTTTATTTTAACAAAATGGAAATCCCTAAAAATGACAAATGAAAAATAAAATTTCTAAAATTCTCACAAAATGATAAGTATCAAAATGAAGGAGAAAATAACATGTGACAAAAAACCTTCATTTATTAAAAGGATATATATATATATATATATATATATATATATATATATATATATATATATATATATATATATATATATAAGATATAGATCCGGTAAGAAATTTTTTTTGGTAGGAAGGTAAGAAGTTTTTTTTCTACATATTTTTTTGACGAACAAAATAAATGAATCACTAGATGATTCATTTGTAAGATGATTCACAAGAAAAAATTCCCAAAAAAACATCGTTATGATTCATTTTTAAGTAAATTAAGAAAAAATTCATTTTTATGATAATTTTAGTGAATAACAACAAAATCATTGTATAAATGAATCATCGAGATGTTTTTTTTGAGAATTTTTTCTTGTGAATCATCTTAGAAATGAATCATCTAATGATTCATTTTGTTTGTTCGCGAAAAAAATATGTAGAAAAAAAAACTTCTTACCTTCCTATCAAAAATTTCCTTCTTATTTGATCTTGACTATATATATATAAGGTTAGATTATTGTGTTTCTAGTAACTATTGTGTGCCAGAATGCACAGATCTGGACTATCGGATGTAATATAATCAAAGGTCATGATCTGAGGGTCTATGATAGTACAATACGGTAACATGTACCATATAATCACACAAATTTTAGCATAAGGGCATTGTAGTCAATTGAGATAATTTTAAAAAAAGAAAAATCGAGATTTATGGGATAATTAATGATTTTGATCTAAAAAATCTATTTTTTTTTTTCAAATTAATTCAATTTCAAACGTAATTTTAAACATAAAACGATTTTATTCTATCATAATGTTATTTTGATAGAATGATATTTTGTAATTCTGTCAGAATGCTATACAACTATGAACATAATATTATAAAAACATATTATCAACACCAATAACTTTTAATGAATACAAATTTTATATAAGACGAAGTTTAATAGTTTAGAATAGGTAATTACATTCATTCTTAAAGAATACAACTATAAACATATACTACATTCATTCTTGAAATCTCTTGCAAAACAAATATCGACATTCTTGAAATAATCCTCATTCACTTTCTTGTTTCGTTTCTAGATGTTTTGTGTATGTTTGACCTTTAAGCTACTTCAAAATATGCTAGCATTCTATGAGATTGACATTTTGTGATATTGACATTCTATCAGAATTGTATTGCATTAGAATAATTTTATACAAAGAGTCTTTCCCATCAGGTCTTCAAACCATTCTTCAAGCCATTTCTATCACAAATTTATTGCCAAATATTTTGTAGTGATACACTTGTAACAAGTGCACATTAAATATATAACTAATTAACTACAATTCTATTAGAATACATCAATAATATTCTTACAAAATAAACGACTCTTGTAGAAGGGTTTTGAATAGTCTTAAAGAATTTGTATTATCAAGAATACACCCAAGGAACAAAACATTAAGTCCTACCAATAAAACACTTAGCATCTGAAAAATAAACACGACACAAGCAACCACATTATGATATAAAGGGATGCGGGTTTAGAATAAAAAGAATGGTGTATATTCTAACTTCATAAAATTGGTTATGATAATTCACTATTTAAGTTGACAAAGAATTCAATATCAAAAAGCAATTTGATGTAAAATCTATTTTCAGGATTGAGGTAAATAATTTCTACAAATAAGCACAAGTTACAACATCACATAAACAATCTTTTGTTTTCCAGTTGCAAATACCTAGATTTCAACTATGCATTTTATCGAACACGTGGTGTGCTTTTTCAGTTTCTTCAAAAAAAATTAATAAGAGTCTTACCAATTTAGTTTCTTGAATTCAAGAAACAAACCCAAACAACTGTGAGTTATATCCCATCCATTATTATAAATTTTTTCAGGAAAACCCAAACATCTAAATTTACATGGATTCAAATCAAAATAAGACGAAGAAGAAGATCACTTGTTGGCCATGAGTGCTTCCTTTAACTTCCTCTTCCTTCGATCAGTCAAGAATCGAGACCCTCGCCTACGTCAAACTTGTTGTTTTGCTGCTTCCTTTCTCCCTTCTGTGTCAATGGCCAACAACTCCATTTTGTGTTTTTCCTTTCCTGAAAAAAAAAACAAACAAACAAACACCTCCGTCCACGTCCCTGCAATCGACGGGATTTCCTCCCCGTTTGATCCTCATTTCTCACTCACGTTCACGGACCCCATAACAGTGTCACCGCTACTCCACATCCCCTTCTTCATCCTTATCGAACCCCAGAGTCCATTATCGATTGCGAGATGAGAGTATGTGCTCCCTTTTGGAGCTATCAATTGTAGAAGAAGAAGCAAAAGCGGTGATGGTGATGGTATTGATGCCGATGATGAACTTGTTCGGCCAAAGACATAACTAAGTCAAATATATTTACTTTATTTCCTTAATTGAATGATTTCATTTAAATGATTTCCTTAATTAAAACTACAAAATATCCAAAATACCCTTTAATGATTTATTTAATTATTTATTATTTCTTGAATTCTTATTGGTGCATTTAGGCACACAATAGTTGCTAAAAACATTTGAACATAGATCTCTCTCTCTCTCTCTCTCTCTCTATATATATATATATATATATATATATATATATATATATATATATATATATATATATATATATATATAAACTAGTTGATGTGTTTAAAACCAACTAGTTTTAATCCTACTAACTTAAACATAAAGACAAACACACGAAAGGCAGTGTACCTATCGATTAGCAGTTTAGTTCAGGTAAGTAGGGTATCGAACACAGGGAACGGTAAACAATTAAAATAGATGATAATATTATCTAAATAAAACAAGTAATAGAAAGAGTTTTCTCTAGTTTTACAAGACTAGAAACTTAAACAATTAACTAAAACTTAAACTAAGAAACTAAGAGCTAAGCAAATAAAAATCAACTAAATTCAATAATAAAGAGGACTTCTGTTTAGGTTCGACTCATTTGTTCCCATGGATGATTTTATGGTAAATATATCAGATTAATTCTTCATTGGTTACCGACTAAAGTGATTAGATTCACATTCGTTATAGCTAATCCTTAGAAAACAGATTAATTCAAGCAATGGCCAGTTGTCTAAATTAATGAATTTCCTAGTTTGTTGATTCGGGTTTAGAAAGACTTGTAATTAGCTAATCAAATTGATGATTCAATTAACCTCTTGTTGATGGTGTATCACACAAGCTCACACATTAACTTACCTATCTTCAAGTTAATTCTAGTTTCACATTCGTTATTCCTAGACATACAACTATGTGGTCACGTAAATCATATGAAATTAGCAACTAAGAGATGTTCATACAACTTAATTACTGATTTATTAACAGAAGAATAGTTATTGTTAACACATAAGGTTCTTTAACAAGCTTAATAAAACATAATCACCAATTAAAATTAATCCTAATCAAATAATCAATCCATGTTCACAAATTCATCTACCTAAACAGAAGTTATGAGTTTTTAGCTCATGATTACAGCAGAAACAAGCTCAAAAACGAAGTCAATTGGTAAAAACATAGTTCAAACAAGAGATTAGGTAAGAGTAAACTTGATTTTGACTTGATTCTCCTTAAAATTGAATGTAGGGTTGATTCCTTTGCTTCCCACGCTCCAACAGCACCTTTAGTCGACAATTAGCCTCCAAGGGTTCATCTATATGCTAGGGTATCGATCTGAAAGTCCCTTTATATAGATTTTCACAAAACAGGGGCTACTCGGCGAGTCCATTGACCTACTTGGCGAGTCCATCACTTAAAACCCGTGTGCGGCAAGTCAGCGCGTCCAGAATCACGAAACTTCAGACCAACTCGGCGAGTAATCGACCCTACTCGCCGAGTACGTTTGGAATCAGCATTTTCTCAAAACACAAAAGTCATCCGAAATTGTATCTAGTTTTCAGAACATTTTGAATCTCGTCAATCAGAGTTACGGTTCATGAGATATGGCCAAAACACTGACGAGGGGTCAAGCTGTCCAGCAACGTCCTTCTTTCTTCAAAATCCAAGATCCATGCGGCCGATCG